GGGTCCTGGCTGAGCCCCAGCCCCGCCCACCGGCTGGGTGTGTGCAACCCCCACCGACTTGTTTTTACTTCTGGGGAAAGGGCTTATTGCGAAAGACTGTTCCAGACAAATATCTGACCCATCGGGAAACAGGCTCAGAACGGGCTCCGGCTCCTCCCAGCCACCCACCCAGCAGGCTTGGGCTATTTTGGGTAAGGCACCCTTGGCCTTGTTTACCATGTGAGACAGCAGTGGGCTCCTGGTCGATACTTCTGGGAACAGCCTGGGGTGGGGAGGGCAGCACTGAGGCAGGGAACAGCAGGCCTCGGCCTCACCGGGGGCTATCGGAGGTCCTGCTGTGCGCCAGGCCTGAGCCCAGCCGCTGCCCTGGACGTCAGCCTTCTAAGAAGGAACCTCCATGAAGGGGCCTGAGGTGGCACAGCCAGGAACGGCTCCAGAGCCCACAGGAGGCCTGGGTGGGAAGGACCCCTGCCTTCTGCTGGACCCTGGGTCAAGGGCACCAGGTGTGGGCCTCGTCCTCAAGGAACTCCAGTTCTGGAGGCAAACAGGGCATGCTGTGGGACAGCAGCAAAGCCATGTGACAGGGGCTCTGATCAACATGCCTCCCGGCACCGAGGTCGCCCAGGGTACAGGAGTGAGGGGAATGCTCCCGGCAGGAGGTGACGCTATTGCGGAGCTTTGACGGACAAGCAGGAGTTTGGTGAAGGTCAAGGATGGCGATTCTACCAAAGTCAGTCAGTGTTTTGCTTTGCTCATTGTTCATGCGTTCATGCACTTTGTTCTTTATTGGGTCCTGGGATACAGAGTGAATAGGGCTCAGCCCCCACATGCCTCACTGTCCTCAGATGGCCCTCATCCCCTACCCCCAGGATGTGTGTGTGTGTGTGGGTGTGTGTATATATGTGTGTATGTGTGTGTATGTGTGTGTGTATGTGTGTGTATGTGTGTGTATGTGTGTGTGTGTGTATGTGTGTGTATGTGTGTATGTGTGTGTATATGTGTGTGTATGTGTGTGGGTGGGTGTGTATGTGTGGGTGTGGGTGTGTGTATGTGTGTGTGTGTGTGTGTGTGTGAATCCCAGGGCCCGGCCTGCTCACTCCACAGCTTCCCCAAGGCCGCGCTGGGGCTTGGATGTTGAGGCCCTGGTGCCAGGAAGCCTTGCCTCCTACCCTGTCCCATGCAAACCTGTGGTTCTGGGAAGCCCTTCACAGAGCTCTGGGGTGACTGGGCTCTCCCAGCTCCCAGCCTTTGCTTGGTCTGTGCCCAAACCCTTCACAGCCTGAGGCTTGAGCGCCAGGGCTTCCTAGCCTGGACACAGGGCCCAGCAAACGCGGGACCAGTTCTCCCAAAACATGACACCAGAAGGCAGGCCAAGGAGTTTCCGTGGTTTTCAGAACAAGGCACCTATGGGCCAAGCCTCAGGGAAGGAGGAATCGCTAGCAACTTGTCAGGAGTTCCCTGAGCTCTCTGAGCCTCAGTCTTCTCTTCTGTAAAACAGAAGTTGATGAGATGTGGTGTGGACGAGAAGAGCCAGTGTGGCCTGCGCTCAGCGGGAGCGTGTGCAGGCTCGCCCTCCTCCTCCCGGAGACGGGCTCAGGCTGCTCCCTCTGGTTTCCTTCCAGGTGTCTGTGGCGTTGCTGTGGGCTACCCCCTGGACACAGTGAAGGTATAACAATGGGCCACCGCCACCCACCCCAAGGCCCCTCCCCGGGCTTCGGCCACCCTCTGAGTCTCCTGCACCCCATCCACAGCCAGGAGACCTTTCCAGCAGACTAATCAGACATCCCTCCCCATGGTCCTCGGGCCGGTCAGCCTCTTCCTCAGCCCTCGCCTCAGGCTTCTCCTCTTAAATAGGGTTCTGTCCCTGCTCTGTCCACAGTCAGCATGACAGACGGTCGGGGGGTTGTCTCGTCCCCTCCCCCAGGGCCTGCTGGCCTTGTGCCAGGCCTGGAGCCACCCCTTCCTGAAGCCTGATTCTCTCACAGGTCAGGATCCAGACGGAGCCCAAGCACACGGGCATCTGGTGCTGCGTCCGGGACATATATCGCCGAGAGCGGGTAAGCCTGGGGCCAGGGGCAGGGGCAGGGGATGGCAGGCCTCAGACCCCAGGCCTGCCACTCACCAGCCAGCCAGGCAGGGTGGAGACCCTCGCTGAGCCTTGGTTCTCTCACCTTCCAACTGGGAATAATTGTACCGACCTCCTGGATTCCTCTGAGGCCGCCAGGCTGGGCACCAGCAGTGCTGGGTGGAGTTGTCAGGTCCCCAGGGTCCAGCTCAGAGACCTGTCCACAGGAGGGACTCAGACATTTACCAAAATGAACTTGGGACTCAGTGCCGGCCAGGGATGAGCGAAAGGAAAATCATAGCTATAAAGCCTGCTAGCTCACCACCCTCGTCATCAAAGGGCTGCCCTAGGTGGAGCCTGGCCCTGCGTCTTCAATCTCCCATCACCACCTCTTCAGCTGGTACTGTGAGCCCCTCAGGAAGCTGAGGCCCTCGGCACTAAGTGACACGCCCGAGGTCCTGCAGCCAGAGGGCCAGCACGGATGAGACAAGGGTGTCCTTCTGGCCTGGCCTCTCACCTGACTCGGGCCCTTGGGTCTTGTCTACCTGCCCACCAGGTGTGGGGCTTCTACAGGGGCCTCTCGCTGCCCGTGTGTACGGTGTCCTTGGTCTCCTCCGTGTCTTTCGGTACCTACCGCAACTGCCTCTCACACATCTGCCGGTTCCGGTACGGCAGTGCCGATGCCAAGCCCGCCAGGACCGACATCACGCTCTCGGGATTCGCCTCTGGCCTCGTCCGTGTGAGTGGGGCGGGTGAGAGGTCCCTGGGACGGGGAGAGGAAGGGAGAGCCTGAGAGGTCACCAAGCCCAGCAGGCAGGGAAACTGAGGCTCGGTGAGGACAGAGGCCGGATTGAGGCTGGGGGACCATGGGTGAGGACTCAGCTGACTGTTGTTAGCTGAGGAACTCTGTGCATACTAGGGAGCCTCTCTGAGCTTCTGTCTCTTCATCAGTAAGAGGCATCATGGTGAGGATTAAGTGAGGTCATGAGTGTAACACCCCCAGCATTGAGTCAGACAGGTATGAACTCCAATGAAATAGCAACCAATATTATTAGTAATATTATCATATGTTATACATTAATGCCATTAAACACATTAAATGTGTTATGCTTGCTTTAAATACTTACATTAAATAATACATTAATATGTCATTAATATATTATGTAATTAAATACTTTCATGAACTGGAGTCACAGATATTTTCCTAACACCTGCTCTGTGCCAGGAAGGAACCGCTGGCTTTGGTGGGTGGGCAGAACCGGCTTTGAACCCCGCTCTATGGTGGCTGTGGGCCAGCCTGAAGCTTCTTGGGGCCCAGGATCCCCGATGTCGCCATGGGGAACAGGACGCTCGCAGGGGCCAGGTCCAGGGTGTGCGGGCAGAGCTGGCGCCTCCTTATGCCTGCCTCGTCCCTGCTCCAGGTGTTCCTGACATCGCCCACCGAGGTGGCCAAGGTCCGCCTGCAGACGCAGACGCAGACACAGACACAGCAGCGGCGATCCTCGGCCTCCTGGCCCTCTGCTGTACCCCCCCGGTGTCCCGGGCCCCCCGCAAGTCTAGCGCCTGGGCCCAAGTACCGCGGGCCGCTGCACTGCCTGACCACAGTGGCCCGTGAGGAGGGGCTGCGGGGCCTCTACAAGGGCAGCTCGGCTCTGCTCTTCAGGGACAGCCACTCCTTTGCCACCTACTTTCTCTCTTACTCCATCCTCTGCGAGTGGCTCACCCCCACTGGCCACAGCCAGCCAGGTGAGGGGGGCTGGGGCCTGGGAAGTGGGGGCAGACTCAGCTGGGGAGGACCATGCCACACACTAGTGCCGAGTGCCTCCTGGGGTGGGGACCTCGGTCCCATGGACGCTGAGGGTTGGGACAGGCCAGCTTTGTGTGGCCTTGGATGAGTCACATTAGAGTGAGCTCAGGTCTCCATTATGGGGGGGGCCCTGCCCTGGGGGCCTCAATCTGCTTTCAGTCACGGCAGCTGTGGTCTCTCCCTGCAGATGTGTTGGGTGTGCTGGTGGCCGGTGGCTGTGCAGGGGTCTTGGCCTGGGCAGTGGCCACCCCCATGGACGTGATCAAGTCGCGCCTGCAGGCGGACGGGCAGGGCCAGCGGCGCTACCGGGGCCTCCTGCACTGTGTGGTGACCAGTGTTCGGGAGGAGGGACCGAGGGTCCTCTTCAAGGGACTGGTGCTCAACTGCTGCCGCGCCTTCCCCGTCAACATGGTGGTCTTTGTTGCCTACGAAGCCGCGCTGAGGCTCGCCCAGGGCCTGCTCAAGTAGCTGGTCCCACGGACCCAGGGTTCAACCCGCAAGCAGCTTCCAGAGGTCGTAGTAGCTAGAGGCAAAGGGGAGTGTCCCCACTGAGCTGTCACCCAGGACAGCTGGGAGCCCCTCCGCAGCCAGTCAGCCGGGCCCTGGCCTGTGCCTGCTCAACTGCAGACCAGGGAAGGGTCAAGGGGTCCCTCTGCTACCAGCCCAGGGTTGCCCCGAGGGTCACATGAGCAGGGGGAGTGGCCACTTGGATGAGGACATCGTAACATGGAGTCATTGGTGCATGTGGTCAGTCGTCATTCCAGCCTCCCCGGGGGCCTCTCCCCGCCATGCATGTCTTCAGAGCACCCAAACCACCATCCATTTACTCAGCTGTCCGCCACCCCCACACCCCCACTCAGCTCTCCACTGCTATTTAGTGCACTCTTCAGGCATAGTCCCTCCGGTGCAGCTCAATTGGTCCCCACCAGACGGGACCGAGGAGCAGCAGTCTGGTTCCATGCCTGCTCGTTCTGAAACCAGGCCGCTCAGAGAGCTGGGCCGGCGTGGCGGGCGGGTGTGCGGGCCGGTCACGCACCCCACTCTGCCTGTAGACTCCGTGGGATGTGGCTGCCGATGAAACGTTTCTGAGAGTGTTCAGTCGTGCTGCTCTGTGGTCTGTGGGGCTGGTGACCCGTGTCCCCACCCGGGTCATCCTCAGGGGCCAAGCCCTCCACATGTGTGACCAGCGTTCTCACTGGGCAGACGGGCACCCAAGGCCCAGCCCAGCACTCTGGCCGGCTCTACTCTCCCGGCCTTTGGGGCTGGGGGCCCGGCCTGTGCACTGAGCCCGGCCACAGGGGCTGTTCAGCATTCACCGTGATGCTGGCTGTCCTCGCCGCCCCATGCCAAATCAACCCCTTTTGAGCGAAGCTAGATTCCAGGCAGTTTGAGCCAGCTGCCTGGCCCCACCACTGCCTGGACACCGGGCTGCGAGCTGCCTTTCCTGGGGGCCTGGAGGAAGGAGGGGTTGGTGCATCCTGAGCAATGCTGGGTACCAGGCACCTCACACAGGTTATCAGAACAGCCTGATGCCAGGTGAGGAAATAGCTCAGAGGGAGCAGGGCCACTGAAGGCCACACAGCAGGGAGGGTAGGGGGACTTGAGCCTGCACGTCTGAGGCCCCAGCCCACTTCCTGGCACCACATGCCTTCCAGTGATGGGGACTATCGGGGGTCAGGGCTCGCAGATGCAGCACAGACCTGCTGGGCCCCCACAGCAGCAGCCCCCTAGTAAAGCCAGCCCACACCTGCCTCCACTACGCTCGCAGACACGGGCCTGGACCGTGTCCTCGGATAGAAGAACCTCCAATGTTCCGGCCAAACTCATTCCTATTCCCAGAACGTGTGGGAGGACCCTCCCCTCCGGCCTGCTCCTGTCATACCGCTCCAGGTACTCGATCACACCTGGTGCTCTCTTCAGGAATGCCCTCCCTGCTCCTCTGACTGGCTCTCTCCCCACCCCAGGCATCACCTCCTCCAGGAAGCTCACCCTGCCTGACCACCAGGCTACTTTCAGGTGTCTCTTGCTCTGTTCCCACGGGGCCCTGGTTTGTCATGTGACCACTCTCCTCCTCCCCCTGGGACTCCTCATCCCTGCCCCCTGAGACTGTGAGCTGCTCAAGGGCCGCACATGTCTGATTTGGAATACGTTCAGCTCAGGGCCTGGCACGCGGCGGGTGCTCAGGGAGTGTGGAATGAATGAGTGGATGAGTGAATGAAGTCCTGCAGTATTTCTTGGAAGTTCATCCAGGTTACAGATGCTAAGACGCTCTGGCCAGGTGCTGGGGAAAGGGTGTCAGCTAATAAAAGTTTTCAATCATTCGTCAAAACCCCGAGTCTGTGTCCACTCTTGGCAAGAAGACCACTAGAGTACCCACTTGCTCCAGCCTTGGAAGCAGTCACTGGCAGCAGTCCTGGTCGGGGAGGGTGGGGACCACTGCCACTGAGCAGCTGGCCCGGCCATGCTGGGGAAGTGGCTTTGCAGGAAGGTCCTCGCCCTCCAGCATCCTAGGGGGCAAAGCCCTTTGGATGCCGGCCCAGCCCATCCCTAGAAACAGGGATGAGGAGACGGGAAAGGAAGGGGCGGGCCTAGGATCAGTAGGGCCAGAGCTGGGTCTTCCCACTATGTCCAGGCTACACTGAAATCTCAAATGGGAGATGAAGGGTGGTCACCCAGGGGTCCCCACAGCTGCGTGAGGGCCTCTGGGATGGGTTCCAGGGATGTAACGCCGTAACTCCGGG